GGGAGAAGTATACATCAAAGCAGGATGAGAAGAGTCGAACTAAGGTTTCTGACAAGAATTGAGGGGAAAGAAAATGATCAACAAAACAAATCCATTGAGCTCAAACAAGAAAAATTGAAAAACTAAATACAGGAAAAAGATGGAGCATGGATAATAAAGTGAAAACTTTGACAAAATCCTGATGTCAAACATAGCGGACGGAAATTACAGTTATATCAGTAGGTGAGCAAAAATGAGAACGGTAAATAAAACAGAGCGATCAAAAAACAGTGCAGAGAAATCTACCTTCGAAATCCCCTACACAATGGCTCCGCTTCACTGTTCAAGGCGTAGATGCCCCCTTATCATCACCATTATCCCCTTCTCGTAAGTAGGTCCCTGTTAAAGTGTGTGTTCATTGTTTAAAACCTTCCAGCCTTGTCTGATTGGAAGACAGAGGCCGATGATAGAGGCGGGCCTACCGTGTCTAGGCACCTCATTGCTTAAGTTCTTCTAACGCGAAGCGGAGAGCCGGTCAATATAAAGCCTCGTACAACTTGAATTTTATTTATTTATACACTCAACTGAGTGCGCCACAACTGCATAGTAACAAATTAACCATCCGTTGCCACAGTACAAGTGAGATTAGGAAGGGAGAGAGGACAGAAATACCGATCCCCAGAACTGCAATGAAATTACCGGAACATGATGAGATACTAAAGAATTACAAAAACCCAAGTTATTACATAAATAAGAGTGGTGAAAGCACACACGCCCACAGGTCGGACGTTTCACCCTCCCACCGCGTGGATGTGGATGGCCAGTGGGGGAGTGAAACAAGATACCGAGCATAACACATCCGCCCAATGTTAATCAACCAGTTTTCAATCTTTCAGTATATTAACAGAAATAGCTAAGATAGCAGTGAGTCCCTGAAAAGGCTCAAGCGCAATAAGATTGAGCGCTGAAAATGTAGTTGGAAGGAGGGGGAGAAAGGCCCTTTCAATCACTAACGGCTAGAGCGCAGAGAACTATGCTTGTTCTTAGAGATGCTCTTTAGCCAACAGAATATTGTTCTTTAAGGAGGGAAGGGACGTCGGGGTGGGATTGATGGGATATGTTTGGCAGAAACCTGAGATGACATAAAAAATTGAACGTCCAATTGGCTCACCCACCCCGGAGCTCCACCCCTTCCTGAAATTAGGTAAAAAATACACAGTTATAACATAAAAAAGCTGTGGAACATACCTAAGCACCATTACGGGCTCGGCTACTCTTCCTTCTCTGCGCTCTAGCCGTCAACGATTCAAAAGGGCGCTGGCCCTCACCCCTCCCACCCCCCACCCCATTTTCACCGAATCCTGACCTTGACCGAATCGACACAACTGCGTGGTCCAATGGAACCAGCAACCAGCACTAATAAACTAGAAATTGAAAAACGCGATCTAACGGCAAGCACGGAATAACCTGCTCGCAGCCAACAGTCGCGACGCGGCCGCCTCTTTGTCAGCAGTGTTCAATTTTGCAATTTGAGGTCTCACACCCGTTTCTGACATGAGAAAACAGGCTTAGCGCTTGAGGACCTCTCATCTTCCTTCGAAGCTTCCCGTCCGATGAAATTTCCTTACCCAACTAGCGCTTTACTCTTCTCCAATTTCTCCACATTTTTTTTGTATGCATCGGCAAGTAATTTTAGAAACTCTGTCGTTTAGGCTTGTGTAATAGTAGCTGAAATCCTCACAAGATGGCTATGAATATCCCAAAGTCGGGTTTTAATCGCTTTATGAAAGAAGGAGCTCAGGTACGTTTTTCAGTAAGGTTTCTCTTACGTTGCAAAAGAGAAATACTCTTTTTTCAGCATTTTAAAGGAACAGAGGAGGCAGTACTTCGGAATATTGAAGCATGTGTAGAATTAGCTTCCCAATTGAAGTCCGCTTATGGTCCAAATGGTTCGTTATTTCTTTTTTTTTGCGGTAGCAGTATTTTACATAGTTCTGTTGTATAGCTGCAGTCTTATATTCGTTTAGGCATGAATAAAATGGTCATCAATCATATTGAGAAGCTTTTTGTTACAAATGATGCTGCTACTATCCTTAAAGAGCTCGACATCCAACATCCGGCTGCAAAGATCATAATCATGGCTAGCCAGATGCAGGAGAAGCAGGTTAGTTACACTGATGAAAGCGCATTTCCGTATTTTGGTGCGAGAGCATTTTCGCCAGAGGAATTGGCAATGGCGGTTTACTCTGTCGCTCGCCCTGCCATTTAGTCTGCTCACCACAACTTGTGTAACGGTTCGCTTTGAACTAACCGTACTCATGCGATATTTAAAGCGACATTCATCGATCATTAAGTTGCCCTTCCATATTTCAAGCCCTTGCAAAAAACCACTGAATGAATTAGGCTTGTCGTTCACCGAGCAGTTGCTGAAGATGGGAAGGTTGCCGTCGTGTGTGCCCGTCTGTTTTGTATCATGTCATTTCACCGTACGAGAAACTGTCTCTGGATTATTGTGTGTCAAAAGATTGCTCAGTAGCGTTTACATGCTTGCTAACCAAATCTTCGCTGTCCACGGATGCTGCAAACCTTTTACCCAAGAAATCAAGTCGGTGTGATCACGCTCATCATGTACATGATGCAGCCTACATTAGAAGACTACTTCTTGTGCCTTTTACATATACATGTACCTTTCAAAACTTGAACTGGAACACACAAAAGCAGCACCATTGATAACAGAAGAACCTTCAAGTCACAATATTTTGACTAAATTAGACCTACTAAAACCTGCCGGCTGAATGATTGACAAAAGAATGCTATGTTGGAAAAAGTAAAGGGAGGCTTCATTGGAGACTAAGGGGAATTTCTAAATAATAGACGAAACTGTTTACTGAAAAATCTAATATCGCGCTTAAAAGTTGAACGAAACTCGACTCTATATTTCCGAATAGTTCCTGAGTGAGTGTTAAGCTAATGACTGCCGCAAAGAAAAATTAGCTTCCATTATTTCAGGTAGGCGACAATACAAACACTGTAGTGATACTGGCCGCCGCTCTACTTGAACATGCTGCTCAGCTCATCAGCATGGTACATTACTCAATTCTATTGATTCTTTCCATTTCAGTTCTGGTTGGATTGATCGTTCAAAGGTGTTTGTTTCAAAGTCTCTTATTCAGGGCCTCACTCCTCAAGAAGTTGCTGCTGGATACGAACAAGCGGCTGATAAAGCCCTCGAAATTCTTCCAAGCTTGGTCATCAAAGAGGCAACAGATTTGAGAGACCTACCAACGGTGTGACTTCCAATAGTGTAGAACTTGTTTTATTGAAAACACGCAAGAGATTGTTTCCCCCTTGCAGGTGAAGAAACTTCTTCGTTCAGCTATTACCTCCAAGCAGTATGATAATGAAGAAGCCATCGCTGATTTGGTGTCCAAGGCTTGTGGTGTGTATGCTCAGGAAAGAAGATCCTTCATTTTTTCCTACTCAATCCCTTCTTTCTTTCAGTGCTCACAGTGCCGAAAAACAGCTTTAATTTCAACGTTGACAACATCAGGATTTGTAAAATCCTGGGATCCGGTGTTAGCACATCGATGGTGAGCTCCTTTCTCCAGATATTTTTCTACTTATTGAGCAACATTATTTTTCACTCTCTATTTTACATTTTAATGCTTGATTCATTTGGCACTTTGTACTTTTAGTTTAATGATTGCTTATCTTTCAAGGTTATGAATGGAATGGTTTTCAAACGCGGGGCCGAAGGCGAAGTGAAGAGCGTGCGCGATGCTCGTATTGCTGTTTTCACTTGCCCATTTGATCTGACTCAGACAGAAACCAAGGTTTTTTTTTGTTAAAGTATTTGATCAGTCTGTAGTCTCGAAGCAACCTTACTTTCACTATTAAAGTTGTAAAAATGAATTGCTCAGTTGCTAGGGGCTATGGGTTGTCATTAGTCTTCTTTTTTCGCCCTTACACCTTTTTCGTAATGAGCTGATCTGCCATCACCATATACATGTCATAATTACACATTAAATTCCCCAGTTTCCAATGATTAATAGCAATGCTTACCTAATCAAAAATGGGTGAGGCGTCTCCTCAGTGGTTCAGAAGCCTGTGAATGGTTTTAAGATACTGGAAACAAGGAAGTTCACAGATGACCAGTCCTCCTAAATCGGAAGTCAGGGGTCACCAACCACTGGTTATAACGAGTCATCAGAATACTAACTGGTTTCAATAGTTTATGAAGATTCACATAAAACATTAAAAAACGAAAAACAAATGAACCAAATGGTTCAGGCAGTCGAGCTTTACTTTATTTTAATCTTCGTGTGTATACTGTTGTATTGTTCAGGGTACTGTTCTCATAGAGAATGCTGAAGAGCTTATGGGTTTTGCAAAGGGAGAAGAAAGCGAGGTTGAAAGTCAAGTCAAAGCACTCTCGGATAACGGAGTCCAGGTAGGTTTGCAGTCAGTTCTCTTCGACAGCCATTGAGTTTTTTTTCAGGTTGTTGTTGCTGCTGGAAAGTTCGGTGATTTATATTTGCATTTCCTCAACAAATATAAAATCATGGGGGTTAGGTCAGTTGTCAGAATTTCACTTTCCACTATTTCTTTTTTCCGCCTTTTTTCCTTCAAATTTGTGTTTTTTGTCTTTTTTTTGTTTCGATATCATTAGATCGCAACTGTATCTGGCTTAAATATTTTTTGAGGTTAACATCGAAATTCGACTTACGCCGTTTGTGTCGAGCTGTGGGTGCACAAGCACAAGCAAGAATCGTGGGTGCCAATTTCAATTTCATTGTTTACAAACATTGATTCTGGACCATGTTCTTGCCAGTTTGTGAACTATTTTCTTTGTTGCAGTGTGCTCCTCCTGTTAATTTGCTTGGTACTTGTGACTCGGTTCGTGTAAGAGAAATTGGTGATGAGAACGTAGTGGTTTTTGATAACAAGGTATGTTGAAGAAAACTGGATCGTTGCCAATTTAAGTAGATTCGTAGAATTGTTTGCAGGGCGAACGAGGGAATGTAGCGACCATCATTATTCGTGGTTCAAGCCAGTCTCGCATAGATGATGTTGAGCGAGCCATCGATGATGCTGTCAACACTTATAAATGCCTTACGAAAGACTGCAAGGTTTGGTCCTTTTTACAATGCTTGCTGAAGATCTTATAAGCTCTGATTCAGTCACTTTTGTGCTGTGTTTTACTGGCACACATAATCTTGCAAGGAGTTTTTTAAAGGAGCTACATCTTCACACCAGTTGGAAAGACGAAAAACTGCTTTTTTGTACTTAGTCATGAAAAAATAACTAATCTTTGAAAAAGGGATGGCAACCACCTAGTGCAGTATGGGTATTTACAGTCCAGAAAAGATGAACTGTTGGTTCGTTCAAGCAAGCAAGTGAACGAGTAAGTCTCTTCATGTCTGGGTTAGTACTCTCGGCTAAAGGCTATAGAATGCTAGCGAGTGTCAGGATTGACGGGATAATTTCACTTCGAACAACATTATGAGAACCCATTTTCACAAGATCAAACTGACGTTTCACTCAATACAGCCTGGAATACCCAATCAACGTGCGCCAGAACCCCAACATCAGTCGACTGTACAGAGAAGAGCTGTAACGTTGAAAACAAAGCTCGTTCGAATTTTATGTCATGCATGTTTTCTTACCTGCCTTTGACATCTTTAAGTATTCAACGAGCTCTTCTCGCTCAGCTGTGGCGTTTCTAATGTATGAGTCACGCGACCGGAATGAAATCAACTCGACGCAAACGGATGTAGCAATGTTGCAGTAGTCTGACATTTGTTGTCTTTTCTCTTCTATGCAAGCAATTGCCTTTCTGACTAACGACTGCTTCGTTGAAAGAAATTCGGGGCGAGGACTCAGCGAGCAGTTACTTACTTAGAGTTGCAGAATGAGCCATGGCCATTTTTTTAAGCTATGTATAACCTTAACGCTTGTGAAGCAACTGAGAGAAGCATTCTCGTTAGACTGTCGTAGCGAAACAATTGTAGTGAGCTTGATAGTGCACTAACGCCGTATTATCCTGAATTCGTTCAGTAGCTCAGAAGAGATGCGCCATTACACAATTTAGTCAGCCTTCATTCATTGGTCTCCGGTTTAGGTGTATTTGATAGTTGGGCTCTCCCGCAAGATGCGAATATACTTTTTCCCCACATCACCTCCATATCGGTTATTATAATAACAGCAGCACAGCTCTAACTGTGTGAAAAGGAAAAAGGAACACTCTCGAAATTCTCGCAGGGCGCAAACGGGATACGATTCTGAGTTGCTCGTACTGAACGAAATAACTTTCCCTAATTCGGTAACAATTGCGTAATGGGAAATAAGGAACGATGATTTTGACCCATATGCTCAATTTTACGATAATTGTCTATACGTCAAAGATGAAGTAAATCGGTGGACAGAGTTTGATCAGAGCTTGTCTGTAGATTCAGGATTGCCTTTCTTTTGTGTATTTCACAGTAATATGACTTATTTATTTAGCTTCTTCCTGGTGCTGGGGCTGTTGAAATAGAATTAGCCCGCCAAGTGGAATCATTTGGTGAAAAGTGCTCAGGGCTTGAACAGTATGCCATCAAGAAGTTTGCATACGCGCTCGAAACTCTGCCAAAATGTCTAGCTGAGAATGCTGGCATCAACGTATGTTTCTTGGTTTGGCAATGATTTCAAAATATTTCTTAGTGCTGTTTATATGGAATCTATTTGAAGGCGACCGATATCCTCACTAAACTCAACGCCGCTCATGAATCGGGGCAGCAGAATGCTGGCATTGACATTTGGAAACATGGTATAGTTTTCCCATTTCCGATTACTGTGTCTGAAATTGAAATGACTTCCTTTTGTAGAAATAATGGATGCCGGAGAGAACTCTATCTACGATTTATTTGCCGGTAAACATCTTGCTATAAAACTTGCTGTTGATGCCGCTGCTACAATTCTCAAGGTTGACCAGGTAACCTCTTTGGCCTTTGCTTGGCGCTTGGTAAACATGGGGTTTGATGATTTTATTATTTTCATGGGTTTTGTGATAGGGAAGTTATATTTATTTCTTACAGATTATAATAGCCAAACAAGCCACAGGTGGACCCAAACCTCGTGGACCGAAGCCGCAAGACGAAGACGAAGAAGGAATGGCCTAATTTTCTCAACGCTACTTACAGCTTTCCGTTATTTTGCAAACTGTCATCGTTCTCAGTAATTGTTTTACAACCTGCATGAATACCGACATGCAGTGCTATTCGTTGAATACTGTCAGAAAATCGATGGCGTAATGATCTTACAATAGGTTTACCGATGCCTCAGTTGAGGTTCGCTTCTATTTCTCCTTCAGTCTTCGTCGTTCAAGTTGTTTCTTTGTTACCATGTTCTCAGTCGTTTGTTATCTCAACATAATAAAGTTCTTTAAAGAATGAGCTTCCCATCAGCTGAGTAAGTGTCATTCTCATTTTTACCGACACATGTTAATTTCATGCTTGAAGTAAACTTCATTACTCTGAGCTTACTTGATTTGACCCATTTTTTCGTTCTTTTAACCTTTAACTGGGCGGAAATCGATGACTACTGCGAAGCTGAACTAATGTGATGTTTAAAAGTGCCTGGGAAATTGTGAAATTTGTGGAAAAACCCTGTCGAGAAGGCAGCAGTAAGCTGTACAATCAAAAGGTCAGCGGAAGTAGGAAGCCATCAAATAACAAATGTTTTGTGCAAGAAAATAACCATGACTAGCTTCAAAGCAGCATTCAGGGAAGACTATGTGAGGCACCCAATGCTACATTCTTACACCCACATACATATATAGGATCGAGCTCCCACATAAAATATTTTTGCTTTCCCTTTATGAAGGGGCGGGATAGCGCAGCTCAAATTCATGGTGATTTTTCCCGGTTGACCTCTGATGTAATAGTTCTCCATTGCTGCTCTCTGCTTTTTTACTGCAAGTGCAAAACCATTTTGCGTTCCAAAGGCATGATTTCAACAGGGGTGGTCAGAACCATGGCAATTATTTGGAATCATCAAAACCGATTTCTGTTGGCTTTTCAATCCAGGCCTCAAAGAGGTCAAGGAACTAAGATCAAGTATCAGTTGCTACAAAAGTCGACCATAGGAGACATACACTTCCAGAATACTCTGCAGTTGTCATTGGGCCTTGGTACCTTGCTAATTCCAAACGATACGTGAACGTTGATGACAACGTGGTCAACACTTCCACTACAGGTCTAGGTACTTCTTAGGTGCGCTATTTTACTGCCATAACTCTTAATTTCGACTGTCAAACTATGTCATTGGTTACCAGTTAACAAAAATTGCTAACCTCTTACCTTAGTATGTCGGAAGAGTTACAGAATTCTATACCCGCAAAGTGTTCCCCATTATATTGGGAAGTTTTTGTGGGATAATAATTGACAACATGTGGTTTCAACATTCCTCTATGTTACGTTTACTGATGCGAGTATCAGAATTCTGCCTAAGAAACAAGGCGGGGAAGTTATTTTCCGAATCGCTGTCCCCTTGTCCAGAGTAAGCCATTTTCTTGCGCATGCTCATGACTCTCACGTCTTCAGTTCTTAGGATTTCATCGAGATTAGTGACGGATCGTAGCCAGAAGGGTTCGTTATAACGCGACTAGCCACACAAGGAAAGTTACCTCATTTTCTGCGCCCGTGTCCTTGCTTGATGTTTTTTCATTGCTTCTATGTAAAGGTGATGGGTCTTCTGCTCTTCTGAAGCTGGGAGCGTGGAGTTACTGTATCACAAACTCCCTTCATGCTGCGAAATCTATCTTGCCTCCCTAGCTCTTCGTAGTCCAACTGCTGGAGAAAAAAGTTTTTTTATAATATGTTTTGAATCAACAGTTGAGATCGTGGAATAAACTCATTCGTGCTCCAGACATGTCGACAGAAGATGCTGCAGTCGCTGCAGAGGTGTGCTCAATCATGGCTAAGGAAACGGATCACAAGTCACAGTATGAGGGGTCCGTTGCAGTTTTTCTTTTTGCGTGAAATTTGGTTGTGGATATGTTTGTACAACCACTTCCACCCCTCCACCCAATTTACCTTACTCGGACCGTAACTGGTAGACCAATAACGGGTTCCACCTCAATAACATTTATAATTTTCTCTCCATTCTTACGGAAAAGGTCACTTTGCCGATGTTGCAAATGATACAGCCACCTTATATTTTTCCGTCACTTTCCATTTTCACCTCACACAATTACTTAATTGGTGTCAATTTTTTTTCAGTTGCAGGTAATGGGTAAAGAAAAGTTGTTATTCGATTCCGAAAAAGGCCTAATTCCTGCAAAAGGGGAACAGGGACTATCAAATCGCAAAATCGCTCGAGATTTGGGCCGATGACACTCATTTGTCGACCATTTCGTCAGGAATCCTACAGAGTTAGAACCAAAAGAAGTGCGGGACGTCTTCGTTACTTTCGAAAGGATGTAAGCGGTGGATTTCGAGAGAAGCGTCGACACGAAGAGGCCATGTACGAAAATCAAGTCCTCTTCGAAGCTCAATGTCTCAAAGATTCCTGTTTGGAAGGTGATAGAATTAGTCTGAGTTCATTGGACGGAAATTGAGGAAGGCATCTTTATGACCGAAAAGCATTGCGAAAGCCGGGTCGCTTTTGCCAGAATTCTAGGTTTTTTTTTCGATGGAAAATGCTCAACTGTGGTTCCCCAGATGGAAGCCACTTCTACTGGCGCGATATGAGGAAGAATAGGCTTTAGCTTTCCATGCGAAATTTCAAGGGAGGAGGAGTCATGATATGGGCTGCAACTGCTTTTCGTTAACGCTTCATTTATAGTTTGTTCTGAAGAGGTTCAGCACTTCCGGTTATCGGGTCATTATGCACCGTGCTCTTCTTCCCTTTTAGTGTCAGAATCGTCAGCAGAAACTCGTATGTATGCATTTTAATGCCCCGATCCACGACAGTCGGAGCACCCAGGCTCGGTTTAGTCGGCATCAAATCGACTTTTTCCTGGCTGGCTACAGCTCTGACTTGAATCTAAGGGAAAACGCATGAAGATTCATGATAAGAAAGATTTATGGGGGAAACACTGGAGGTAACAGAGTGCTGAAGGAAGCAATCGTCAACCGGTGTCCACCAAGTTGACCAGGAACTCATTGATAGCCTTTACTTTAGCTTAGACAGTATTTTCGAGGTAATTAGATGGAATGGGGCTACACTAATTGCCAATCATGCAACATTCTCTCTTTAACGTCATTTAGCTGCTGAATAAATTGATTTGGTCAGTGGCTGTTCATCGTTTTGCAACATAAGCAAGGTGGCCTTTTGCGAAAGAAATGAAGGAAATATTGCCTATGTCATTGAGATTGAACTCGTTCTTGGTCTAAAAGTTACGGTCCGTGGGCACAACTCCCATACCGAGCCTTTTCCTGAAATGCCCGTAACATGACATTGGCATGGATCGCTGTATCATTATGTAATGCAGTATATATTAGGTCTACCATATCCAAGTGACCTCTCATCGTTCAAAGAACGTCAAGTCTAAAATTATCGTATCGTAGCTTTGGGTATAGGTTTTCTATGAGTAATTTGGATTTAAATCGCCTGTGGAATAATTCCAGGCTTCTGGCTGTGATGGAACGAGTTTTCCCTGCCCATGTCTCCAGTGAGGCTGATGTCCTTCCTCTTGTGACGTTTATGAAAACAGGTTAGAACTATTCTTTGATAACGTGTTTTTGCTCCTAAACCTCCTAAGGGCTTCATCCTTCAACGCGCAAAGCTACGCATGCAGTAGATATCACTCTTAGTCTACAATATTTCATCTTCTAATAGTGCGATTGAAACGTTTCAATGTGCTTATTTGAACACTGAGTCTTTTTGAATAATAATGCGTCAGGGTAAAAGGCATGTGTATGTGAGTGGATTTCGAAGAGTACGCGCGTTCGAAAAACGCGCATAGTCAGTCCTGAAGAGCCTTGAGGATGCCATCGAACAGATACAGAATCTCCGGTACCCGGGCAATGAGTTGAATGAGGACGTCAGAGCGGTCTGGCAAATACTTTCTGTCCAGTGGATGTTGAGATCGCAGCGTCTTCGCGTACTGAAAAGGTCATAAAATCATCCATACAAAGAAAAAGTGGAGTTCAAGCTCTAGAAAAAATGACTCCGATGAGCTCAAATGAGGACTTCGCCGAAACTAAAACGATGTGATACATTTCAATTCTTTAGCATATTTTATCTTAATAAATGATTGATTTGATCTTACCATGGCAGGATCCCAACTCGAAGTGGCCATATGAAATAAGACCTGTACGGCTAGACGTGTTTTTGGGCGCTGAATTCAAATCCGCTTTCCAAATCTGCCAAGCGATTCTCTGAACGGAGTTATGAGGGTGG